AGCCCGGGAGAGACGTATCGGTGCAGCTCGGGCCTCCGGGACCCGGAGCCCCCCCGGGGCCGCGCCTCCCCGGAATCCCACCTGAGCGAGGCCGTCGATGGCTCTTCAGACTCGGCTCCTAGTTGCGAGGGCAGCGTCTGCGACAGGGCGTCGGAGTTCGAGGACTTCTGGAGACCCCCGTCCCCGTCCGTCTCGCCAGGTAGGGCCCGCGCCGGCTGGGGTCTCTGCCTGGGAGTGGGGCCCCTGCGCGGCTGGGAGCTCAGGGGAAGGGTCTGTCTCGGTTTCTGGCCTCTCTCAGGGAGCCAGCCCTCTCGGCTCCTAGTTGCGAGGGCAGCGTCTGCGACAGGGCGTCGGAGTTCGAGGACTTCTGGAGACCCCCGTCCCCGTCCGTCTCGCCAGGTAGGGCCCGCGCCGGCTGGGGTCTCTGCCTGGGAGTGGGGCCCCTGCGCGGCTGGGAGCTCAGGGGAAGGGTCTGTCTCGGTTTCTGGCCTCTCTCAGGGAGCCAGCCCTCGGGGCAGGTCCCAGCCGCTGGAGAGTGCTGCTGGAATATGGGGCGCTCTGGCCACAGACCATCCTGCCAGATACACGCTCCCCATCAGCACTGCAAATGCAAAAACAGCGGGGAGTCCGTGGTACTTTAAAGACTAGCCCATCCATTAGGGCACAAGCTTTCCTGAGCTCCAACTCACTTCCTCGCATGCTGAAGAAAAAAGAAAACCGAACAGGGAGGGATAGAGAAATGCAGCCTTTGCCAGCTGTTTTCCCGCTTGTACTGCTGGTGTAGCTTTTAAGACGAGAGCCCCCGCATGTGTCACACTGACTCCTGACCACCCTGGGACCTTGCTTTGGGTTGGAAACGGGCTTCCCTGTGCATGGTACTGCCGTTTTAAACACGCACCTACAGAGGTGGTTTCGTTCAGAAGATTAGTTCAACATTCCCATTGGTTTCAGAATGAACAGTATGTAGCCCGGATTTAGCGTGGACACTAATGAATATAAAAGAATCATTTGACTTAAAAGCCTTGAAATATTGAAGAATGCCAGTAACAGGAGTGTAAAATTAGTTTTGTTGGTGTCTAATAGAATAGGCTGCTGCAGTGTAGCGAAGAATGTGATTGAAGGTCTCTGTGCCTGCGTATATGGTTGATCGGATTGTACCAGGGTATATGTCTTATGAAAGCTAGTAAACGTAGCTACACGGCTATCTATACACCTCGAGTAAACAAAAGGATGGGTGGGTGTGTTTGTATTATCTGTTAGACACTTTCCTAGTTCCCATTCAAGTTATTTGTTTCTTGTCTAAAAGAGGATTTTTTTCTTTTCTAAAAATACACTCCTGAAAAACAGATGAAAATAATGACGGTCAGATTTAAACACCCCAAATCCAGGAAGCTCACATTTATAGCTACAGCTCTGTCTCTAGCTCCATGGTTGTGCCTTTGATGTGGCCAGAGCAGTGGGAGAAGATGCAGACCTGACTTTGGCTTGAATACTATCTCGTTTAAAAATACAACCGTGTCGTTTTATAACAAAAATAACAAAGCCTTTTATTGCTTGGGTTAAATAGCTGCAGCTAAAAAAAGACAAAGCGTGTGAGTGCATAAACTCGGTACAAAAAGCAGTAATTTCTGTCGCTGAAAAGGAAAAAATAGTCTCAGCTTTGCAAGATTAACAAACCCTCACAGACAAAAATCGCTTCCTCATTTTCATCCCTACTTTGTCCCTGTAATGTCTCTGCCTATCCATGTCTTCATCTGCTAGTGAAATTCTTTTAAAAAACCCATGACTTGATTCCAGGCAAATAAAGTTGTACAAAAGACAAAATGTGGGGATGCAATTTGATCTAGTTTTGAAAGTGATTTGCATTCTAAATTAATAATAAAAGCATAATAATAATGATAATAACGATAATAACAACAATACTATTTTCTCCAAAATACTAATGACTCCTGGAAAGGGAAGTGTAGTTTGCGCCCCAGTCGCAGTGTGTCCACACAAGGAGAGTTGTTGTAGCCATTTTGGTCCCAGCTAGAGATATTAGAGGTGCAGAAGGGTGATCTGGGATCTTTTCTTGGACTCACTTCTGTTGGCGAGAGAGACACGCTGTCTTGTTTACACGGACCTGAAGAACAGTTTCGTGTAAGCTCGAAAGCGTGTCCCTTTCGCCAACAAAAATTGGACAGGTAACACCTGTGTCCTCATCCGCCATGTGTGTCTAAAAATGCGGAGAGAGATCTCTTCCCCAGAGCTGTACTTAGGAGTTCCCCCCCACACACACGATTTTTCCCCTCCTGAATTAACTTCCCTATAGCGATTCATTTATTGTGAGTCCAGTCTCTGGGAAGGTGCGTTCCTAGCGAGGGTCTTAACAAAAGGAGAGAGACGTGTGGAGATCAAACGGATTATGCGATGGGATCTGTGCCCTTTACAGTCTTAGCAAACATCTCCTAGGAGTGAAGGGGGCTTGCAAGCGTCCCTGGCATCTGCTGATCCCAGCCGGCAGGTGTGTCCCCTACTCAGACTGCTCCAAGCGATCCGCGGAATGGTCCATCCAGATTGGCAACAACACACAGGCAGGCAGGGACTGTCT